GTTCACGCTGAAGTGAAACTACACAGTTGCAGAGTTTAATGTAAGTGTGTGTGATGTGTAGAACTTCCATGTTGGGAATAACCACATTGTGTATTTTTCTCAACCAGACAAAATGTCTCCTTTGGTTCCGGTTCAGGGACAGGTCTGGAGGAGTTTAAATATCTGAGTTTTTACAGGACTGGTGGTAGGGTGGAACCTGGATGGACTGGAGTTCTGTCTTCAGAAGAAGGCGTTGCTTTGATCGGTTGTTTTTAAGAAGTGGTTAAGTTGAAAGGTGAAGCTCTGACTGAGCCCTTGGCTCTCAGACTGCAGGTTTACTTGTGGTTCCTGGAGTTTCTAAAAATAGAATGGGAGGCAGAGCTTTCAGTTCTCACTTCCTGTTTCTGTCTGTGCGGCAGACGCTCCCTACCTTTTATCATTAAGCAAATAAAAACAGATTAATTCATAATGTTGTATAATTCATAGAAGACAAGTGTTTGTGTGGTTTCACTGTTTCCTACATGTAAACACCAAACACTAAAGTCTTCTGGTTTAGATTTAATCATGCTTGAATGTAAAAGTCAGTCCTGTTTTCTCTTCCTCGGGGGTAAACTACAAAACAAGTTTAATAAAGTTGGGCTTTTTTTGAGAAGGGGGTCTCTGCAGTCACGAAGTAGTTTCTATCTTTGTGGGTGTAGTTGGCCCGAGGTGTGATCGGTCAGATGGATGTTTTTTTATTTAATTTAATTTATTAAATAGAGGGGAAATGAATTCTCTGCATTTTACCCATGGCACATGTGAACACACGTGGACAATTCCAGCTCCTGGGGAGCAGCTGAGGGGTTCAGTGGGGCTGGTTGGTTCGGGGAGTTGAACCAGCAGCCTTCCAATCATAGACTCATCTTCTGTAACCCCAGTTTGAAGAAGCTGGGGGRCAGCTTGGTTGAACCTTGCAGGAAGCACATATATATTTTAAATATAGAGATTAATATTAGTCATAACTTGAGACAGGAAGTTGCTGCACAACATATGAAGTCAATAAATGTTTACATTTTCACAATAATTTTTATGAGTCATTGTTCTTTTTTAAACTACATAAACAGTCAGTAAATCATTATTTTACTATCATTACCAGAGATTTGTAGTAACTAAGGACATTTACATTGTTACAGTACTTAAGTAGTTTTTTTGAGCATTTGTAATTTTACTAGGGCTGTGAAATTAATCGAGTTAACTGATTAATTTTAGTGCTGCATGGGCATAGATTAAAATTTTTTTAATCACGATTAAAATTTACAATCACTTTACTCTGGCTGAATATGTAGGTTTGTATATTGTGTAGCATTTTCTTGCATATAAATAATCATTTCTGATWAGATTTCACTTGTTCCTGTGACAACGGCTCAGGAAGGAAGAAAAACCTCCACTTTGACTTCAGACTATTTTCCAAAGACTTTTGCGTGGAACTTCCTTTGTGGCTCTAATTAACATCTCTTACACAAACCCCCACCAGACGTCCTGACGCCTTACTGTTAATAGATAAGAAATGCCACATTCCTGTTCCAAACCCCACAAGTTCTGTTGCTTCCATCCCTCATAAGCACAGGACTGTCTGTTGGTTCCTCTTCAAAGGGATCATAAATGCCTTTAACCACTGTTCGGCGTGACTGAGAACAAAGGACCTACATTCTTCATTAAATGTGAAAAAAAGGAGAAAAGATAAAGGAATCTGTGTATCTAATGTTTCCTGTCTTATTGCAAAAAATGTCATCTAATCCATTTTTCAGGTAAGAATTAAAAAGACCATAAAGGATCTACTAAGTTTTGCTTAGTTAACCATTCAATAGGTGTGTGAATTGTGGTGTTAATTGTTTTGATGAAATGTTTTCCTGAAGATGATGTGTGTTTTATTCCATGATTTAATCCTTAGAAACTTAGGACTTGAATTTTAATAATTGTGACACTTATTTTACTGAGGYAAGCAGATGTCTCTCCCTTTAACTAGATGCAAGATAATTAAACTAAAACACTCCCTTTTTCTTTGTCCTGAAGTAAAGTTTTCCCTCCAAATTAGGTTTGATTTGTTAAAAAACATTTCCTGTATAAGGTGTAACATTTTTATTGGCCAACTAAAACCTTGACTCCGCCCATGACAGAGGTTTTAAAAAGCTTAGCACACTCCCAATTTCTTAGAAGACAAGGACAGAAGAAGACAGAGAGAGAGTTTTTCAACATCAGAAGTCAGAAACAGTTTTCCAGAAGCTCAGCAGAGGCCCATCCTGCCAGCCCCTCCCCATGGGCTGGGCAGGATGGTGGTCCTTCTGCATCTCCTGCTGGTTGAACGAACAGCCAACGTTTAATATCGACTCAACATCTGAGTTTGATTTTATAGAAGTTAAATAAGCTAATTGTAATTCATGTGTCGTTTTTAGTTTGTTTTTCTCTACAAAGTTGAAATCAAATTAAGAAGTTTTGCAGCCGCCTGGGGAGGACCGGACCCTGTTGTCACCAGCTCAGCACCCACCTTTCTGACTGAAGGACCAGCAGCTGAACAGACACCCTGAGTGTCCGACCGGCCACCACACTGAAGCAGTTCTTTGGGGAACATAACCTGAGATCCTTCGGTCAGCCGACGCCTACTTCTGGTACCGCCATCAGCAGAACAAAAGGGTAAAAGTGAACATTTGTCCTGGTGACACACAGGTGCTCAGACGTAATTTGATTCTGATCTTTGTATGAGATTTGATAAACTAAACRATTTTTCTCCCTAATTTAACTAGGACCCCCTTAGTTAAAAACCAGCTAAAAGCAAAACTCACCTCWCTCCAAACGTCAAACTCACCTCTCAGGGTTTGTTTTATTTGTTTGTTTGTTTTTTTATTCACTTGTGATTGCAAACTCTGTTTTACCTGGTTCAACATGTCATCACTCATCACTCGCCATAGTTGTAAATACATTTAATCTGTAAATAAATGGCCCGTGGAGAACGTGCCAACATAAGTTAATCTCACTTTTGTGTTTTGATAAAGTATTATTGGTTCTGATAAGGACAAGGGCTCATCAAACCATTTTGGGTACATTTATTGTGAGACTGATTACAATAAAGTTACAGGTTTTTGTCTCTTACCTGGGTTAATTTTTGATCAAATTACGAACGTGGTGCCTCGAGGTCAGATAATTTGCGTATTTAAATAATTCACAAATTATCCATTTTAGAATATACCCAAAACCCCTACATTTACAATGCACTCAGTGCCAGGTGATGTTTGTAAATGAGAAGTGGTTCTCAAACTGTTTACCTGGATGAATAAAGGTTAAATAAATAAATAATAACCTCCATGTGTAACACATTATGTAGTTTTTTTTTCTTTTTGTCTTCTTATGGCTTATTTTATTTATGTTTTGCTGACAACTGTGACCTTAGTATCCATCTTCCGTTCCTCATGTAGTACTGTAGTAGTAGTAGTAGTATGTAGGAGTAATAACTCAAGTAATTAATTTTACAAAAGTTTTATATTAAGTTTAAGATTAATCGTGATTAATTCACAGCTACCTTGGAATTAAAAGATTAAAACTTTTAATTTGACAGCCCTAAATTTTACCAACTATTTTTAAACAGCTACTTTTACTTTTGCTTTGTTACATTTTAAAGCTAAAAATKATATTTTTACTTCTTTAAGATTTAACACCTAGTTAGTTATAAATTAAATATAATCTGAACTCATCATGAAAGAAATTTCTGTTCTAAAATAATGAAGAGTTGAATTTATTTAAAGTCATGTTAACTGGCTCCACTGAGCCTAGTTGAGTAAACTGAGCAAAGAATAAACATATATCGCTCAGTTAACCTGGTTTAGTGGAACCAGTTTGGTTCAGTAAATTCAACAGTTTATTTCTTAGAGAGTGTGTAAAAGTACTTTGACTTTTACTTTCTCAATTTTTGTGAACAAATGTTTTCTTACAGAACACTGAGGTCAGTAAAGGTTTGTTAGTATTTATTTTGAAACTAAAACGTTTAGAAACAAAACTAAATGTGAACAAAACGACATGTTAATATGATGTTCTTTATAAAATAAAACGTAGAGCTCTAAAAACATCAACTTAAACACAAACATCTCGGAGGTAAAGTTTCAGTCATTCGATGAAGGCACGTGAACATTTCAGGGTTTGATCTTAGAAGTCATTTTCTGTAAACATTCAATAAAACATGGAGAACAGGAAATACTGCTGGGAAAACATCAAAATAGTTTTTTTTTTGTTAACTTCGTGGTAAACTAATTATAAATTAGTTTAGGGATTATAGTTTATAAAAGGTGATTAAAACTAAAATAGAGTTTGAAAAATACGGAAAATAATTTGCATTTAAAAAACACAAATTTTCCAACAATATAAACAAAAGACATTTGAGTCGTTCTTTAGATTTTCCTTTCAAAATACAAAAATTTGGAGGCAAAATAAGAGATAGTCCGATCATTTAGGTGTCCGTTATCGTGATAGAAATAAAAGGGACTTTACCTGGAGGACGATTAGTGAGGAAGTCGGCGTTTGGTAAGTTATCAAAACTACGGTTTAGAAGGCTCCTCCCCTCGAGCGTCTAAAGAAGTGAGTATACGTTCACATCAAATGCGTCTCTCCAGCGTCGAGATGCGTGCGTTTTGAGATTTATGGAGGCGCGTTTGGTGTAAACGTAGCATTAGAACCACAGCATCCAAACCAGTAAGTCAGGTGATGGGACACATGACCCTCTATGAACAATAGAACCAGTCAAGCCTATTGTTAGCCGATGGTCCTCTTTTGCATGTGACTAACCTGTTTGTCCACCAGATGGAGGCGGAGCTTATAAGGCTGAGTTCACCTGAAACTCATCAGACTGAAGAAGTCTCTTGGAGGAGAGACGAAACGTTTCACTAAAGAAGAACCATGCAGAGGACCTACTGATTGTTTCTTTTTGACATATTGGGTAACTTTAAAATCAAATCCAGTCTTTACAGACTTTTCAAAATAAAACAGGAAGTGGGGACTTTTGTTCTGAAAGATAATTTTGTTTATTAAATTCTATCCCCACAGTTCATCAGGTCAGTTTTTTTTACCCTGAAWTTGTTTTGAATGAGTCCACAGACGTCGAGGACAAACCGTGTCCTCCCGGGTCTTTGTGGATCTTGCAGTTCTTGTAGCGGACCTTTGCAGACGTCCGTCCGTCTTTCCTGGACGCTTTAGTCCGTCCCGCTCGTCTCGCCGTCTGCTCTGAGACGAACGTCCACCCCTCCAGCTCCTCCAGCCGGAGGCCCAACTTGACGGCGGGATGGAGAGCGACGGGGACGCAGCAGGGACACAGGGTGCGCTTCCTGGTCCTCCCCACCCTCCTGGTGTCCACGCACGTCTGCGTCTCCGCTGGGACGGGTTTGGTCTTGGGTTTGGACCGGGCCTCGCTTTCATCGGAGATGTCTTCATCTATTGGTTCCATGTAACCAATCACAGCCTGAGCTTCAGAGGACCGCCTCAGAGYAGAGCGGCAGCTCTCCAGGGACGACGGAGGTTCTGGGTTCGGTTTGGAAAGTCCAGGAAGTCCACCTGGACCGCAGTAGTCCCGGGGGGACGGGGTTTTGGAGTGTGCAGAGACACAGCCGGCTGCTGCTGCTCCGTCCACCTGCTGCAGGTAAATCTTCACCTCAGCTGTGATCCCAAACATCTTCCTCAGCTGGGGGTCCGACCTCTGACCCGGTTCTGGTGCTGCTGGAGACGTCCGGCTGGGAGCAGGAAGTTCAGACTTCTGCAAATAAAAACAGATTTAAGTCAGACTGAGGCGGGTCGACAAAGATCTGTGGTTTTATGTTTTAAATCTGAAACGAAGATTGGCACCAACAGTTTCTGAAAACATTTCTTTTATTTTTTTAACTTTATTAATTTCTTTAAAAATAACAAATTTATATACAATAAAAATACAAATAAATAAAATGAAAGGCGGCAGAAAGAAGAAAAAAACTCGTATCAGAGCATCTTTGCTCCCAAAATTACATTTTTAAACAATAATAATCTACAAAACAAGAAAAACTAAACAAAAACCTCAAATCCTTGTTGACCAATATTTTGTATTAATACACATTATATTGTTTCATATTTCTTTAACAAAGTGACTTTTATCATTGTCTTAAACACAAACATTGATCATTTTTGACCTCAGTATATCGCTCCCTCAAACATCTCCACCCTGTTCAGATTATAACAACTTTCTCTCTTAACAAAACTTAATTGGTTGTTTAAAGGTAATATACATTTATGAGCCTTATAACCTGTAAAATATTATAATCAATCAACTCATAGAACTTTAATAATTTCACCTGATAAAATAATATATTTGATGGGTGACTGWAGTGTTTTCTAGTGATAATTTTTATGGCTCTTTCTATGTTTAATAAATAATAACTTTGTTGTGTGTTTTTGAATCATTTTAGAGGCTGGTAAAGATCAGATCAGTTTAATTATCTTTAACTGTAAATTAACTGGAAGCTTTAAACCAGGGCTTCTTAACCTTTTTGACCTCGGGGCCCAATCTGAACATAAAGAGGCACGAGGCCCAGTCAGACATTACCATATGGATCAACATGATAATTATTCTAAATCTTGGTTTAACTTTTATTGTATTTACATCATAACTAAACTATCATAACTAACATAACTAAATTAAATACACTTACAGTTAAAAAGTAAAACTCCTGTCAAATAATCACAAGGCATGATTATTTTATAATGTAACCTGCACATAATTATTTAAACAAAAGGTCAGTCAACAGACCACTCAGGCTTATCAGCACAAAAATATATATTTTTAACATAAACAACAACAAAAATAGACAATTAAATAAATAAAATTGTGGTCATGAAATAAATACAATCAAAATGTAAATGGTTCAAATAAAAAACTGTAAAAATAAATTTGATAAATTGCAAATGAAAATAAATCCTTTTTAAACTTTTGTAATCAGAAGCTGCTCTTCATATTAGTGATGAACAATAACAGTAACAACAGCTTTTTGACAAGTTTAAATTTTCTTTAAAATACATTAAAATGTTTAAAAATAAACTTCAAAAATTAATTTAAACTGCAAATTAAAATATAGCTGTATCTGTAACTGTATTTGATCATGTTTTGACCTTTTAAAATAATGCATTGTAGAACAATAAGCTGCTCTTCATATTAGAGACAAACTTTGGTGTTTTTTGATGAGTTACTTTCATTTTTGCTTCTACTTTTCATTTAAAATAAGTTTCCATTCTCAGCAGGTTTCTAAGGTTCTTCTTCTACATATTAAAAAGTTGTTAAACATCTGAGTGGCACACTACTGCTACTAGTGGTGAGAAAGTGTATTGCACMTTATTCAAAATCGTCCCACGACCCTCTGTGGCCCAACGTTAAAAACTGTTGTTCGTTTGAGGCCCTCAASGTGGCGCTCACGGCCCACAWGCGTTAAGAATCTCTGGTTTAGATGTTTTATRACAAACACTCCTGATCATCCTGTAGAAAAAAACAACAACAGAACCTGGGAACAGGAAGTGGTCTCACCGGTGCTGTTTGAGCAGACTCCTCCTCTCTGCTGGGACCTGCAGGACTTCCTGTCTGCGTGTCCAGCTGCARGTCTGGGACGCTGCGCTGTCTCCCAGCTGGACGACAAAGATCCGTCTCTCTGCAGACCAGCGTCCCCCGCTGTCCCCCRTCTCCCTGAGCCGGGACCTCGGGCGGGACCGTCCGTACGGAGTCGGGTTTCGGAGGGATGTACGAGACGAAGATGACGTTGTCCTCGTCCGGACGGGGGCGCGGAGCTTGCGGGGGCGTGTCCTTCTGAGCGTCGTCGTCGTCGCCGCACAGGTCGATCACATCCTGCGAGTCGCTCGGACCTCGCCTGTCCCGACTTGCTGGAGGCGCCGGGGGGTCGGGGGATGGGGGGATGGCGGTTTGTCCCGCTGCGGTGGACTTTAAGGACAAGCCGTTCTTATTGGCCACAAAGAAAACCCTCCCGTCGAAGACCACCAGAGCGTTTTCTGTCTGTCTGTGAGGGGTCTGCGACGGAGGACCCTCCGCTCCTTCTAACACCCACCTGATGGGACTGTGGGGTCTGGCTGAGAACTTGGGGACCAGTTTCAGCCGTGGTTTGGCTCCGGTGGAAGGGGACCCACCTGTCTTGGTGTTCGACGGGCGTTCGGGTGGTCCGGGCGCACCTGGATCCACKGTGGTTACGGGGGACACGTAGACCACCGTCGGCGAGGCGGAGCTGCTGGAAGACGTAAAGACCTGGTCTTTGATTTCCGGGGACAGTTGGGACGCCGGGACTCTCTGGACCGGTGCGTTGGGGGGCGTCTTCAGGAACTGTCCTCTGGGGAGGGCTGGAGATTTCACCGTCACAGGAAGCTGATGCGGCGGTCCCGGTGAAGGGACCASGGCCTGAGGAAGTCTGGCTGTTAAACTGGGCCCCTGCTGCTGAGGCGGACCCTCTGAGTCCCGATGWGCAGGATGGACCTGATTGGACGAGGCGTTCGCAGCAGAAACCTGCTTCCTGMTGAACTGATGATTGTTCGGCAGCGTCACGGCGCTCTTATGAGCCGTGTGAACAGGTGAGACGTGGTTGTAGATGGAGACGTCTCTTTGTGGCGACTCAGACTGATAAAACTGTCCGTTGACCCGTTTGACCGGRATCAGCTTCATGATGTTCTTTCCATCAGCTCCAACAGCCGGCATCGCCTGGTAGAACACGCTGGTCCTACTGAAACACAGAAACGTAACGAGAGTTAGCGCTGCTGGTAAATAACGCTGACTCCCAGTGGTGGGAACCGCTAACCAAACAGTTAGCTTCACTAAACACTAATCCATTAAACAGGAATCTGAGCTATGCTAACGCTAAACAAGGTTTAGCAGGGTTAAGTTGTTTTATTTCTTTTTGATGCTCTTAGTTTGAAGTTTAGCTGCTAAAGATGCTACATGCTAACTCAGGATAAATGGCACCAAAATAGAAGTTTTTCCACCTGTGAATTTTTTAGTGGACTTAAAACTGGCTGATCATAATTTAGTGGAAGCTAACCAGTCCATTAATGGTTTCCAAAGTTAGCAAAAAATAATAACATAAATAAAATAAATAAATAAAAAGAGAAGAAGCTAGTTCCACTGTTAGCGGATTAGCAGAACTGAGTGAGTCCACTATTTGTTTGTTTGAATCATGTATTGTAATATAAATACAAAAG